AAATTAAAGTCAGTGGCCAAACTGAAAAGAGATTGAATACACACATCAGAAAAAACACACATCGAATCCAACAAAGACTTCATTGATTGTAAACCAGCTTGGTTGAACCTATCAAAAATGTTGAATGGCGACTGATTCGAACAAAAAAAAGTTTGTAATATGAAGAATGCGTGTTCTAAGTGAATCCCTTTAATCACGTAATAACGAAACGCAGCGACGCGATTAATGGTGCCATATGGTGTTTTTAACCGATGAAAGTCATCGCTAAACGACCTTATACATTTATACCCCCTATGCCTCCATAGGTGATATAACAAAAGCACCAAATTTATGTCGTTTCTTTTTCTATTTTGCCGCACGTAAATAGAACTATTTCATATGTTTGCCAAAATCGGTTCGCTTTGGCAAGTGTCATACACGATGAATGAAGGAACGGAAGAAAACTTGTATTTCGTCCACAAAAAGTTGTGATCTCAAGATACGTGGCCAGCAGACATGGTTCGCTTGAAATGAATGCCCAATCAAATATAATAATGAAGCATAATTACTACACGATTAAAAGATAGCTTGCGTGCTTGAAAAACATCACCGAATCTCATTCGCATATACATCGATGAAAATGACTTAGGTGCCATTAAAACATTACGTCAGCATTAGTTCTGGCCTGTTAACCATCTGAATTTACCGAAGTGGTCAAACAACCAAGTGACACATACACACGATCCGAACACATCCTTAATTTTATGCGTCCGGCGGCGGTAATAAATCAAATATGGTATTTTCACCTTAATTTCTATCCATACATCTTGATGGACATCGCTTATGAATTTTTCAAAACAGACATTTGCCCATTTTATCGCCGACATTCTTTCGGAATATTGCCGGCTTTGATACGGTTTTGATCGATTTTATACACAAAGTGGCTTTTAACAGATATAATGCTCATGGATATTGGTTTAATAATCGATGTTCAGAATGGAACGGAATCCGAATCCAATCGCAACTATCACTATCAATAAGTTATATAAATGGTAGAAATAATCTAAATTTATTCTATGGTTGATTTGAATTTTATGAAAAACCAAATCCAATTATTTTCGTTTCGAAAAACAACATTTTATCAACTTACAATAAATTAATGGTATCGTACATATTTTATGAAAATCAACGAAACGCACAGAAAATCCTTTCATTTGTCATTTAGAAGTTCTAAACTTTTAAGCAAACATTCTTAGATATATATTTCAGCCCAATTTAGTTCATTTTCTTCACAGAATTGAATTTTTTCTGATAAAAGGTAATATTTTTCCGATTATTTTTCGGCAAAAAAATATACCAAATTTAGTTAGTTTTTATAGCCAAAAAAGAAATTTTTCTGACGGTTTAGAATAAAAATATTACGTTTTAGAACGAGCCATTAGAAAATAGAATATTTCCCTAAGCAGTGAGAAAATATGTGATAAAAAAATGAGAACAAAGAGGAAATTAACAAACAATTTGCAAAAGCAAAGAAAAAAAGACAAACAACAACAACTCATATTTCGTGTGATAATTTTTGAAACTTCATTATTCATTTATGCATTGACTATCTCAGAATTTCTTACCTTCTCAGCAGCCTAATTAAATTTTCAACTTTTTCCAACTACTCCATCATCATGTTTGATAGATCACTGGCCATTAAAAATGTGTACTAACTACTAACGACAGTTGGCGTTGAAAAATGACAAACATGAGTGATTATGATGGAATGGTGTAAAATGTGCAATGAATAAAATATTGTGATGTCAATTTGTTTTAGTGGCGAATAAAACGGTGTTTATTTGAAGTGGAGTTTCACTGTCTCACCCATCAAAGTCTCTAGCGACAAGCGACAAGCGACAATCTGTAATTCGGTATTGTGATCGGCTGTAATTCAATATTATTGAGAAATACTTGAGAAAAAAGTGGTCTACAATCCGAATTCAGCCAGGCAGATGATGCACGCACGATAGAATCTTCGATTCAGGTTAACCAAAACGGATGAAAAGTGGCTAATCCCTTGGCATGTGTTTAGAATTGTTGACATTTCACGGCACTGATGATCACGTGCCCATGTTTATGCACTACCATCGTAATTCAAGTACAGCAAAAAAAGAGGAGACAAAACAGAAGTATGCTTGTGTGTGTGTGTGTGTGTGTGTGTGAATGAGAGCGTCTCATTGTAACGGTGTGCATCAAGTTGGTGGTGCATATTATCAAAAAACATCAAAAGCGAGCAAGTCCATTTGCAAAACGTACCGCATAACCCCCATACCACAAAGCTGATTACTATCTGCTTGTGTTGATGAGCACGTGCTCGCGAGTATGTTCCTCATAGTCATGTGTTCGCCTTTTCGACAATGGGCACGTGCTAATAATTTTCATCGAATTAAGTACGATTTCAACTCCGATTAGGATCGCATTTTTGTTTACATTTTTCATTATTCGTACGAACTGATGCATAGTTTTTTTGGCCAAATAAAAAGGAACATATCTTTAAGTGAGAGAGAGAGAAAACCAACCACCGACGAATGGGCGTTTTGTTTAAAGTCAATTTAAAGTGAAAATTGCAAGTACCATCGGGATGGATGAATTGATTTGTATGGGGGCCAAATTTTCAGCCGTTTCATTTTAACAAACCAAAGAAACTGGCACACCGAAAATCAATCGACAAACTTCAGCTATCGGCTTTATTTGCGTACCAAACCAAATACACTTGCTTATTAATAACGCAAACATCAAACATAACGGCAACGGTAAACGAAGCGGCTGTCAAATGCGCTAGGGAATTCGCGACGTAAGGTTGACTCAGCATGTAGCTGGCATTTTCTATGTTTTTCGTCGAGGGTCGATTGAGCTACAGAGTACATAGCTCGATGCTATGCATTTGGAAGAAAAGAAGAAGCCAGTGAAAATCCAACAAATATTCTGCGGAGAATAAACGGAAACAAACGTTGACTGAAAAATAAACTTCCAATTAAAAATAATATTCAATTAGAATGAATTCAGCACTCTCTAGAGAATCCGAAAAATCGAAACTCATCGAAATATTTGTTTGCGGTGTATGTGGTATGGAAGAAACAGTGAAAAGTTTACTATAAAAAGAATACGGACTACATGCTGACGAGGCTAAGTGAGAGATCAATCGGTGTGTATCTTGCACATCCGATTCATTGTATCATGCTGAGTAGTAGCATTGGTGGTGGTTCAAGATAAGCATATACAACTTTTGCATTTGTTTGAAGCATCATCTCCAGGATGTGTCAAAATATTCGATTCTCATTCTCGACGATGGAAAATTCGTGGAAGGAAGGAAAAAAACAGCAACCATAGTTTCTTCGCAACAAATTTAAGTGATAACAACGAAACATACAATCTGAGAGTGTGCTGCTGCTCATATTCGAGCATTTATAATTTAATAATGACCCTTTTGAAGAAAGGAAAAAATAATACCATGCAAAATGCATGTGCGTGTTAACTGTTACCATGCACACGCCCTGTGTGATACGAGAGCGCAGTGGTACCACGGCTCCTGCTGCTGCTCCTGAGTTTGTGTGTGAGAAAAGTGAAGCCCCGCAATAGCAACATACAATCTATCACACGCACTTAGCACACAAACGACATCGCATCGAAACATTACGCACTGACAACAAAATATAATTTTGTGTTTATCGCTCTTTTTTCTTGTGCTTTTGATAGGTTTTATGTTAAATTTGATTATATGTTTGATCGTCAGCATAGGGATTTGAGAGGCGGGTGAACTACTTTTGCATGGGAACCACTCTGGCTTTGCCTAAAACTTCTTTTGTTCGTTTCGGTCGAAATTCGGCTCTCGTTTGAACGAAGCCATTCAACACACATATATGGACTTTTTAATGCAACGCTACTATTTTACATCCGTCGATAGCATAATGGTCTCAAAATATCACCGCGATTTGAAATGATTCCAAGGAGTATAGCTTATTTGGTATTCAAAGTCATTTAACAAAGAAAATAAAATACAAAAATTGATATCAAATGATAGCATCGATATAGTGTAGTTTTTTTTCTTCATAAGCATGTGAAACTCTATAATCAAACCAGAATAAAGTAATCTCATACAAATTCATCGCATTTTTTCAAGTGTACAATTTGATTTTTAAATTAAATTTTATATTTGGATCTGTTTTGGAAGTATCGACAGATTTACAGATATTAATTACATCGAATAATTTTCGAAGCATTTTTTCTTATCCCATCTAACAATTATCAACCCAAATACATCCGATACCAGGCACATATCCAAGGTTAAATACGGGGATAGATTTAACCGTAGAAGTAACCGTCATAGTGATCCAATTCTGCATGGAATGAATTGAGAAAAAATTGCATCAAATTACCATCAATACATTCAATACATTCAACACTCTTATTTCAATTGTAAAACAAATCATTTACTTGCATGGGTACTTCTGGCCTCTTTCGAGTTACGCCTACTATACCACAACAATCAGGCATAGCGGAAATAACATTACTGTTATATTTTAATTTTTAAATTGTTCAATGTGAATGGTGTGAACGACGATGCATGATGCTGGTTAGTTGTTGACAGCAGCTCGCTGGTTGGATGGCCTCTGCAATGTTTCGGGTAACGTATTAACTAACGTCAACAGTAGAACAATGATGAACAAAAATCATAAGCAAGTCGTTGTAGAACAAAATTCTAAAGAAAGATGTGTTTAAACATCAACACAAACCCAATCGCTTAACAAAATTGCAATGAAGAATCAACATTTTCCAATTGGGAATCATCAGTTTGAAATTCAAACTAACGAGAAAATGAAAACACAAAAAACTCATCAATCGGCAAACTGTAAAATATAAAGCAAATCGGTATTAAACCTGGAATATTTTCTCCATCGTAGGCACAGTGCCATCTATCGTCGTTTTCGATCATAATACTTCGATATCTGTCACACACACGTTTGACACGTATCATAATCACATTCACTTTCCCTTCAAAGGCTTTAAGTAACTTTGTTGTGAACGTTGTGAACTCTGGTTTTCGGCACATTTGCAGTACGTTTTGGTCATATCAAAAGTGCAACAATGTCGGTGGCAATGAAGCTTTCAAAATGCTTTTTATTGGTATGGTATTTCAAGAAAAAAAAAAAAAAATTTGCATCACATTTATTCATCTCTTTTAAATTTCTCTAGCGTATCGAACACGTGAAAACGGCAACAAAAGGCCGATTATATGGATTGGTGCAAAATAATGCAATTCTAGTGATGGGTTTTAGTTTGAATGAATCCATCGAAAATAATTTGCCAATTGGATTCAAAGATGTGGGCCCTGTTCAATGGTCAAGTGATGATGACTTCAATAAACCGGAGGTGTGAATCAATTGTTTCAACAATTTTTTTTGGTCAATAACAATAAATAACATCTGTATCGCAATTTCAGGAATCTGATTCGGTCCAACTGAAATACAATTTGCAATCTTCCGACAATCAATTGGTGGTTGGTTGGAAAAACAAATCAAATGAATGGGAAACTGTGTCATATGATGAATTAACCGAAGACGAATTGAAAAGAGAATGGGTTTGCTTGCGTACACAATTCCAATTGAAATATTCCATCGAAAATACGGCCAACTATCGCGAGCAATTGATTGAATTATTGGAGTCGACTAGAAAAAAAATATGTGAAACGAATAAGCCGATTTTGTGTATTTCCGGCACGGAAATTATTTTGAAAAAAGACAAAGGTCTCGTTGGAATCGGCAAAAATGCTAAGATTAATGCAGCCATTCAGCAAACTAAAAATGACCAAAACCCATCTCAATCGAATCCAAATCAATTTGAAACACTGAACATTGTCCTTGCAGCAGGCGATGATGACGCAGCAATGGATGATATTAGTTCAATTTTTTCCAGTACGTCCAATTCAGGCATAAAATATTTCAAAAATGAATTTTGCTATGATTTATAAATCATAGAACAAAAGAATGATTGGCTGCGTGCATTGTCTTTTAAATTCACGAATTTTTTTTTGGTCTATCAACCAGACGTATCGCTGAATAATTCCACAAAATCAACGCAAATTGATTTCGACGCATTGGCTTTTGTCCGACTAAGTATGGGTGCGAATCAGATGTATGAAATCATCTTGAAGTCGATCGACCGTAATATCTCATGCATTGAAGCGACTGTAACAGACGTGGAACGACCATTACACACATTTGTCTTCTATCCAAAAGTTCTTGGACATTTCATTAGCTACGTTTATCCAACGACATCAGCCGATGATGGTGAGTATGAAAACAATAAATTGAAATTCTGATTTTTTCTAACTGCTTTAATCGTGTAAATTTCTTCAAGCAGACAAGGATCAAATCACTCAACGAAAACAAAATCATACGCATTTGAATTTTTCACGGCCATATTTACGACGAGATGACGCATACTCCTTTAGTTCTGTACCGCCTGGAACACAATTATTTAATCCACACATTGGTTTAAAAAATTTGGGTAAATATTTCAAGTCAAACTTATTTATCATCAGCACTTAAGCTAAGTACACAGTTCCTTGTGAAATGAAAAAATTTCTCCGGTGAAATTTTCACAGGTGATATTTTTATGGTGTTTTTTACTTTCGAATTGCAAGCATAATGATTTTTGATGTATAAAACAGCTAACTCATTCCAATATCAACACGGCACATGAACAAATTTGGTTTTTGAGTTCATTCTTCTATGTGTTTTGTCTAAACAAATTTTTTTTTCACGGTCGTGAAAAATATTTCGCAAATTTTTTTCACGGCGGTGAAAAGATAAGAAAGATCAAAATACATTAAGAAATGAATTCAAAACTCAAATTTGTTCATGTATTGTGTTGATATTGGAGGTAGTTAACTGTTTCATACATCAAAAATTATTATGCTTGCAACTCGAAAATAAAAAACACCATACAAATATCACCTGTAAAAATTTCACCGGAGAAATTTTTTCATTCCACGAGGAATTGTGTACTTAGCTTTATACATATACATTGGTTCTTAAATTTCATTGCAGTTAAGGATGGAAAGCAGTATATTGTGAAAGGAGATTACTTGTACTACCATTACATGCAAGATAATTTCGATGATAATGGCTGGGGATGTGCATATCGTTCGTTCCAAACGCTGTTTTCGTGGTTCCGTTTACAGGGCTACACGAATAAGTCCGTTCCAACGCATGGCGAAATACAAAAGTGCCTCATTGAATTGGGTGATAAGCCGACATTATTCCAAAACTCACGCCAATGGATTGGATCAACAGAGGTTTCAATGTGTTTACAATACTTCCTCAATGTTGATTCACGCATTTTGCACGTAACATCTGGCAGCGATATGGCTCAACACGGGCCAACATTTGCACAGCATTTCACGACATACGGAACACCAATAATGATCGGTGGCGGCGTTTTGGCTCATACAATTCTCGGCATCGACTATAACAGCCAAACAAATGAATTAAAGTTTTTAGTTTTGGATCCACATTACACTGGTGCCGATGATTTAGATGTTATTCAGAAGAAAGGATGGTGTGCATGGAAACCAGTCACATTCTGGGACAAAAAATCGTATTACAATTGTTGCATGCCAATGTTCCCAGACGCAACAGACTACTAAATCTCAGTAGTCAATAGTTCTATTCGACTAAAAAAAATAGAATTTTTTAATTCCACTTTTTATGTTATTAATACGAATACGAATAAATAATGTGTTTTCTATTAAAAGATAACCCAAGTAACAATTATTTTTAAACGAAATATATCCGAACCCGGGTATATGTTCAGGGTTCAATGTGGGGTTACGTCATAGGGTGGCAGCATCAAGAAAATTCAAATTGTCGCGCTGTTTATTTCCGAAAAATATTCCGAAATTACATTGATTTTCCTATTGAAATTGAGGGCGCTCGCATCGCTGCAGTTGTCATTTAAGTTGTTTTCGGTCTATCCGATGGGTTACGTTTGACCATAGATACAATCATTTTTTTTCTTCGAAAATGGGTGAAATTCGGGACCTGAATATTTGTACACGATTTTGACATTTTGTACACGAATGGGATTTTTTTTATATGTGAGGAACGTACTCTTACAAAAAAAACTCAGAAACTTTAAAAATTAGTTTTTTTCTACTTTTAATTTTAAATTTATCCATAACTGTCTTGATTCAAGATAAAATATGTCTTAACGATGAACTAATTTGAAAAAGCCAAGAATTCTTCTTCTGGTTAACCAATTACCATTGTAACTGCCTCTGAAATAAAGGTTTCTCTACAACTTGGAATTTTGTTCACAGAATTTGGTTATGGAAAATTGCAGGTGTAAAGAGTATGAATTTTAAACTCCAAGCTTAGGCAAAAATCGGACAGATAGAGGCACTCAGTCTTATTTAAATTGCTTCATTTGTGGCGTTTTGTTCTCGTTATGTGATCATCTCTCGATTACGGATTTAAAACTTTAGAGTTGTTGAACTTTTCTATCCCATCCAGTAGGGAGATAATGGCCTTGATAGCTCTTATCAATTATCACTGTTAGCTCCTTACTGATAATAGATAAGTGATGACTGTCTGTGGCAAAATTGTAGGCCTCAACGAGATCTAAAACTTTGTTGAACAAAATTCTGCTCCATCGCATATGGGGTACGAGTTATTATAGCCGGAGAGCGCATACACCTATGTAAATCATACACATCTGCATGCACTCTCCGACTATACATGCGACGACGTTGCGCTAATTACGGCATTAGCCGAATTAGTCGCGACGTCATGCGCATCCACTAAGTCACAACACAACCTTCAAGCAAAGAACAATGAATAAAGATTATATATCCAAAACATCAAACAACTGTGTTCATTTCATCAATACATCATGCTCCTTCCATCACTATAACAAAAAGGCAGTTCTAACGTTTTTGTGCATTTCGATAATCGATCTCGATCTGAACCTGTGAACTATAATTATTAATGTGATGAAGAATTAAATGTCAATACACAGTGTGTGTAAATTATTCAGAGAAAATCGTGTTAGTGGCTCAAAGTTCCTTCAGCACAAAGTGGTCAAAAAAAAGAACAATTGAACACAAAAATTGAATGGGCAACGTAATTCTTTTTTTAAATGAAGTGCCTCTGAGAAAAAATTTCAGTAAAAGTGCCCCACAAAAATATTGTCTGAATAAACGACACGTGAATTTGTTTTCATGCAAAAAAATTCATGTACCACTTTTACTGAAAAAATTTGTACGGGTCGATTCAAATTGAACATTTTTCGTGGGGCACTCTTTCCTAGGGGTTTCACGCAAACTCGAAGGCCGAAGATTTTACTTAATAGCTGAAAATAAAACCATTTTATGTGTAAACTATAGATATTGCTTCTTTTTATTCATAAACTCGAATGTTTTAGAATTTTTTGAATCTAAAAATTCTGGAAGTGGGTTTTGGTGGATCCTCAGGATTGTTCAAAACCGCTCCTGGTTCTGGAAGTGGATCCTCAGGATGAACCAGGGCATTGTCAAATCCAGTCTGATCCATCCTGAGGATCCTCCAAAACCCACTTCCAGAACATAATTTTCAAGGTGAATGTTGAAATATTTCGAAATAATACGGATTTTGGTGAATCCCAGAGAATGTGAGAGAAAAGAGAGAAATATTGAAATTTTAGATGAATTTTAAGTTGCGTGAAACCCCTAGACTCTTTCATACAATAATTTTCGGTGACGTCAGTCGTATTTATCACATAGTGCAAATTAAGTGACAAGGTTTTAATTTTCCCATCCGCTCGATAGAGCCTCCATAGATTGAATCGAAAGAGTTTTTCAAAAGAGACTCTTTCAAAAGAATCTTTGCGAAAATTTTCAATATTCTGCTACAAATTACAGCTGTAAACTATATTCAAATGATTGGTTTTGATTTATATTTTAATACTATGAAGAAAAAAAACTAAAAAAATTGATTTGTATTAAAGTACAGATAAATCCCGTGTATCATCTCCACTTGTATTGTTTTTTACATTGAAGGGCGTTGCACGCACCTTAACATTCACAATACAAACTCAATGCGAGTGGAGACGCCTTATGAAAAATGGCACAGATTGCTAGTGCTAAGGTTTATCTGTACTTTTATTGAAATTATTGATTTGATGAAAACGATCATTTTGACAATCGTATAAATGTCAAGTGTGGCATGAAGATGCAGTGCATGTGTGAGTTACGAATCATTGTACGACAATTGTCAAAATATGGATCAAACGAAATCAATTATTTTAATAAAATTTAAAACAAATGAATTTTCTTAGTTTTTTTCTTAATAGTACTAAAATATAAATCAAAACCAATCATTTGAATATAGTTTACAGCCGTAATTTTCGCAAAGATTCTTTTGAAAGAGTCTCTTTTGAAAAACTCTTTCGATTCAATCGATGGAGGCTCTATCGAGCGGATGGGAAAAATTAAACCCTGTCAAGTGATAAGAAGCTCGAATTTCGATGTGGCGATAACACCAATGGATTGGGCACAGAAAATACTATATGAGAATCGAGTAAATATTTTTTAACTTTTTTTTCGATTTTTGCCTGTGTTGGACCGTTTACATGGGAAGTTTGTATGAAAACCTCGGAGCGCCGCTGCTATTGTATTGGCTTCTATGGCCAAATGTACACATGGAAATATCTCGAAAACGGCTGGCTAAATCGAAAAAATGGTATCACTCCCTAAAGGGAGTGTTAACACCCAGCTGGTTTGATAGCCTAGAATACAAATCCGGTCAAATTTGGGCTGATCCATGGATTCTCAGGATTTGGCCAGGCTTCAGCACTTCAATTTCTTTGCGTTGTGGTAAAATTCCATACAAAACATAGGGAATATGACTTTACAGATGCACATAAAAAAGGAAGCACTGGAACCTGGTCAAATCCTGAGAATCCATGGATCAGCTGAAATTTCACCGGATTTGTATTCTAGGCCATCAAACCAGCCGGATGTTTACACTCCCTTTGGGAGTGACATCACGGTTCGTTTTGCCGATTTCGTTTATTCAGACAATATTTTTGTGGGGCACTTTTACTGAAATTTTTTTCTCAGAGGCACTTCATTTAAAAAAGAATTACGTTTCATTATTCCGCTTGCCCATTCAATTGTGCGTAGGCAAAATCAACATCATACAAAAGGAACAATATCTAAATGAACTAAAGAAAAAATTGAAAAAAGAATGGTTGATAAAATTCATATTCGGAACCTGTGAACATAAACTGGGTATTTCAAAGTGAAGCTGGAATTTACAGTCATATTTCGGACCATACCATAGTTGCAGTAATGCCTATATAATCACACGAGCATGGGAACACGAAGTAGGAAATTCCGAGAAATCTTAACCGTGTATAGTTCGCACGTTGAAATACGCTACATTGAACCAATTTTTTCAAACAAAATGATGGGATTGCAAAAATAACATCGCATTGCATCTGGATAGCAAACTCTTACGGCACATAATACATTATTTGACCGATCTTTTTATTTCTCATTAATAAAATCATAGATTTGTAATAGCACTTTGCGAAAAAGTAATTTATATAATGAACATGTCAAACTTTGGATTTTTAAATTTCATAGATCGAAGTGAAGCATATACGAGGTCGTGATAGTTATATATTGTTGTTACATAAATTTTTCTATTGAAACAATTCTATTTCATTATTTATATGTAATGCGCCAAAAAGACGCTCTGATTGAATTGATTGGTATGCGCTAAGATGCGCTTGGGATGCGCCAAAGATGAGCTAATATCTACCATATACGCTAAAAATGCGTTATCGGGACAAAAGATTCCCTAAATAGTTTTAAGGTATGATTGCTGTATAAATGAATTGAATGTGGGAATGTGAATTTTTCATGGAGATCCATCTTTATATGTAGATTTGCAACAAAAACAATGACTGGACTTCGTATATTGCCAAAGGAAACAGATTTCATTAAATAATTTCATTTGACTGGAGAATAAAACAAAGCAATGTAATAAAGACATAGATTACCATTAAAATATTTTAAAAAAAAACATTCAAAAAATATAAATGTAAATGTGAACCTTTTCGGGTGGAAGGAATATAGCCGGAGAGCGCATACACCTATGTAAATCATACACATCTGCATGCACTCTCCGACTATACATGCGACGACGTTGCGCTAATTACGGCATTAGTCGCGACGTCATGCGCATCCACTCAGTCACAACATAACCTTCAACCAAAGAACAATGAATAAAGAGTATATATCCAAAGACATCAAACAACTGTGTTTATTTCATCAATACATCATGCTCCTTCCATCACTATATTACGGGAGAAAAACCAAAAAAACGCAAAAAAATCCGTATAAATGTCAGGTAGAAACTTGCAAAAAGTGCCCGTGTACTTCGTAGTGGAAAAAAAATGAAGCTTGCTTGTCACCAATATTGATGTTCACGGACATCAAATTGTTTATGCGTTATTTGGCCCACTTTATGCACTAAAAATATTAAATTCTTTGATTGGTATCAAATTTCACATATGAATTCATAATCACATCAGGAAAACACAACTTTTTTCTTAAAATAAAAAGCAAAAGCAAGATGACGTTTTCGTTGATGGTTCGATTCTGGATCTTTTGTGATTCATTAATGATTTGCAACACATCCATTTTTTTGTCGATAGTCCAACTGAATACGATGTTTTGTTGATTAAATAATTATATTTTGATGACAATTTTTTT